ACTAACAGTAACAGCCAACAGCACGAGTTCAGTTGCTAAATAAAGGACATGGACACGATAACGGTCATTTAGTGCAAAGAAACAGCAAGACGACAGACAGATAAAACAATGAAAGAACAGAAGTAGAGCCTACCGCGCAGTAGCACCCTCCAACAACCTGCAAAACAGCAAGACGACAGACAGATATATTAAGTGTTAGGTCAGAAGTAGAACCTACCAGTAGCACCCACCAACCAAACAGCAAGACGACAGACAGATATTTAGTGTTAGATTAGAAGTAGAACCTACCAGTAGCACTCACCAACCAAACAGCAAGATGACAGACAGATAAAACATAATATTAGGAAAGAAGAACCTATCAGCAGCTGTAGTAGGCCTACTCAGCAACCTCCCCCACACAAGTACATTGTGTACATCTAGATCTACATGTTAATGTACGTATTTCTCTACTATGGTAAAAAGAATAACACAAAATGCAAGAGTAAAGTAAAAAAGGACTCCAAAAATATCTTTTATTATACATGAAGAATTAAAGCACAGAGTACAATAATTTGCACACAGTGTCAGGTACAAAGAAGCAAAGAATCAACATACATCATAATGCATTATCTCACAAGGTGAGCAGGGCCTCAAGAAATGTTTTGCGACAGCTGCCAATGATCACTGATGTGACCAACAATAAATAGGATAATAGTACCAGTAATAGACAAAGAGATAAAATTACTTTTCCTGACAGGGTAAATTGTTTTACGATGTCAAACATTTCACATTACATTCATGACACAACAAATACAATAATATTTTTTTTAAAGACAGCCATTCATAAACATGACAATCATTCATAGGTATTATCGTGTCGATGTGCTTTCTTTATTAACTCAACTCAACGACAATTCAAACAAACTGAAATATTTGGGAGTTTTCTGCAAGCGCAAAGACCAGTGTGCTCAATGAAAACCAAAATGTTAAAATGCTCGTGGAAAATTAACCAAATAGGAAATAAGTATAACAATATCTATGGAAGAGAACCAAGAAACCCCACAGGCGGTGCTACTGACTGAAGTGTCTTTAGGCCATTCTCAAAGGGGGGACATTAATCTGTTCTTATGCACAGATGAATTGTAAATGGACTGATTCATCAATGTCAAGCTCATAAGTGTGCCTGAACTGCAACAGGGAACTGCTGCTTTTTCTTTCCTAATCCTTACTACCGTCATTTGCCTCTACTTCTTTTGTATGTTTGTCACACTCTTGCGACCCGCTATTTCCGGGGTGCCATGATAGTCGAAGCAAACTTAGTGCTGTTGAAGCTAGAGAGTAAGGCTGATTCCCTGTAAGGACTTCTCTGTTGACATCTACCCCTTGGCACTCACTAATGACTTTATGCATTTGCTAGCGCTGTAAAACCTCTACTAAAACAAGAGAAACAAGATAGGCATGGTCATAAACAAAGTACAAAAACAATCGGGCATGCTTTGCCATACTGCGTCTCCAGGTGTGAGGGGCTGGTTTCCTTTTACCGCGGTTTGAAGGGAGAGGGTCATCTAAAGAAAAAGAGAAAGATAAAGAAAAATAAGCTCATGTGTAGCAATGTAGTTGAATTGATAAGGAAAACACTGACATTATAACAGTCATTCAGCGCCAGGAAACAGCAAGACGACAGATAAAACAGAATCTTAGGAGAAAAGTAGAAGCTACCAGTGCTACCTGCTAACCACTTGTAGTGTAGCAAAGTAATTCATCTATAGAACTCACATTAGAACAGTTAAAGTAAATACGCTGCGGGAAAAACGTGTGGCATTTCTGTCATTATTAATAGGTTATCGAATACGTAACATCAATTAAGATTTAAAGAAAAGAAACATTTATCTGACCATGTTGAGAGTAGATGAAATAATTGCTTGTTGGTCATATGTGTTTAAAAACAGCACACAAAGCGAAAAACACAAAATTAAGCATTTTTATGCAACTTGCATAACACGGCAGGGACACACTCTTATTGAATAGTAGGGGCCTAACCTGCTGTGTTGTTGAAATCAACAGTGCTGATTTCACTACCACCAAAACTTTCGACTCCGTATGAAGGAGCTGGAGTCGGTGGCTCCTCGTCTTCCTCGACAGTGCTGACTACACTGTCAGCAAAACTTTCGTCTCGGTTAATCGGAGTTGGTGGCTCCTCGTCTTCCTCGACAGTGCTGATTGCACCATCAGCAACACTTTCGTCTCCGTTTGAAGTACGGGGTGGCTCCTCGATAGACTCAAGAGCTGAAAATGAAAGAGAAAGGGAAAAAAACTTGTAACTTTACAGACAGAACTGCTCATTAGCCTCTAAACTATTCCAGTAAAATTGTTAATATATATATTCATATTCATGTAAATTATAAATCTAGCAAAAACATCAACACCACCAGTATGTCCTAATAGTTAGAAACTAATTTGAAAATCTGAAAACAATTTCTTTATATGGAAATGGCAATGTAAGAACACAACCCCCCCCCCCCCCCCCCAAACAAAACACTACCATTAATATGGCTTAGTAACGTGTTAACTGGGGAATTTGAAAGGAAACAGATCTTAAATGACCCAGTAAACTTAAAAGTACTCTTTTTATTCACTGGATGATGTGGAAAGTGAGACAAACCAGCTAACGGTCCGAGCTAAGCTTCATCGGTTTCCACCTGGGATGTGCTGGGATCGTTGTCCTCCCCTCCCTGTGCAGGCCCAGTCACCAAAGGGTTCATGAGCCCACGGCAAGATGAACCTGGACATTGAGAACAAGATTATAACGTGCAATAATGAATCCAACTCAGACAAGATGTTTAAGTTACATTATAATACATATAATATGTAAATAAAAGAAACGAATTAAAACTCAGGACAGAATGTTTTAAAAAACAGAAGAGTGAGAGATAGAGGAAAAACCTTTTCAGTGTGCCTGTCATACTGCATTGTACAACAATAATGTGCATGAGCATTGAAGAAACGACGATCTCTATGCTATTCAGACGGAAATTTCCCAGTTTATGCACATAAAATAAATGAGGCCTAGTCTAGTAATGGTAAGATTTAGAAGCTTAATTAACCTACTGCTGTCACTGAATTGGGCTGGTCCTTCCCTAAGGTACCAGAAATTAAAGGCATAGATTTAGAAGCTTACTAACCTTCTGCTGTCACTGAATTGGGCTGGTCCTCCCGTAAGGTTCCAGGCTCAGATTTTAGATCTGGTGGTGGCTCAAATTCACTGCCGCTGCTGCCGAGACTTTGACTTTGTTGTGAATCTGAAATTTAAAAAAAATACATGCAGGTGTGGTAGGCCTATCTATAAATTAAAACACATACTGCTATAGCATAGAATCTAGCCCCTGTGGAAAAAATATTGTCTGTGGCTGCAAGGAGGGCACCGGGATCTAGAATCTAGCTGATTAGTTACTGTGTGCACACCAAGGTCCTACTTGCGTGTAAGTCAACTGACATGAAGTTTGGTCGAATCCATTACCTTTGGCTTCGAAGTCGAGCTTTCTATCTCGGAGCCAACCACGCTGGCAACTGACATTGAAACTAGATCTCTAGATCTAGATTTAAGTAGATCCAGGCCTTAACAGACGTCACAACGGAGTGACCATAACGAAATTATAAAAACTTTTAGACTCGGCTCTCTCATCATAACAAAGCATCATCTCTAGAAGAATCTAGAATACAGATATCAGAAGAAGAAGATAGAGGGAAATGATAATCCATCGTCTGCTAATGAATATATTTAAAAGAGTCTAGAATCTAGATCTTCTAGATCCCTAGAACCTACAATGTTCTAGAATCTATCCTCTAGATCTAGATTCTAGATATCTAGACCTAGACTGTCCTAGATCTAGATTTAGAGATCTAGATCTAGATCTAGACTAATTAAAAATTAAGAAAACAATAATTAGAGATCTTGATCTGTTTACAAAATAAGATCTCTACCTCTAGATCACATCTAGATCTAGATCTAATCTAGATTTCTAGATCTTAATTCTAATGGCACGGCTAACGGCCGCGGATGATAACGATTACGGGAATGGCCTGGGTAGAAGCCAGGACCAATGCCATTGATTGCCTCATCAATTATAATCTGTCTCATAGTGGTCGCTCGTTACGGAAGTCCTCCCATAATAAGTAACTTGATAGCTATATATCTACAATCTAGGCCTAGAACCTAAGCAAAAAAGAGAAAATAAATTATACCACTTACCATCACTCTCTTCTTGCAAAAAAAGGCTTAAAGCACTGGCGACTGACATCATTGTTGTTCTGCTGCGTGACGCCATCTTGGGTAGCGGGAGAGGAAAAAACTAGAAACGGAAGGCGGCCGAGGCTAGTTTTATGGCCCATCTCTGACATAGGCCAAAATGATTCTGAGAACCGTTTGGCCTATCTCTGATATAGGCCAAACCGCGTCCAGAATCATTATGGCCTTAGTCATTTTTGACTTAGGCCAAAGTGTTATTTCGGGATTTGTAGGAAAATGTGTTGGCCGATTTTATTCATTTCTTTAAAATGTGATAGCAGACGTTACAACGATTCGAACGGTGTGTTAGTTGCATTTTGGCCTAAGTCTGACTTAGGCCAAAAAGGTAGCGGCTTGACGATATGTCCCGTCAAATTACCCCCTCAAAATTACCCAGCTTAATGACTCAAACACCAAGTCCACAGACCCTTTATCTTAGTAGGAGATTTTAATGTACATAACGTCCTTTGGGGATTTTGGCAACAAGGAAAAAAACAATAAAAGACTTTTTTTAATTTCAAAACAACATCTGCCTTTTAAATGGTAAATCCTCAACTTACTGAAACAAATCCTTAACACTTCATCCATCGACCTTTCTTTCTACTCCCCTGACCTGGTCCCAGATTTTGAGTGGTCTGTGCTGGATGACCGTGCGGATCATTTCCCAATATTTCTCAAGAACAATAGCCTCCAACACCTCCAACACGAACCGACCCCAAAAGAGCGCTTTAACTTCAAAAAGCATACTGGGACGGGTTTGTTATTGGATGCTTCCATATTTTGAACCCCACTTTCAGCCTCAACTACCACTAATTTCACGAAACGATTCCAGAAATGTGTCACAAAGACATACCACAACCATCAGAAAAAAACCCCGGAAAACTAGGTACGGTTCTCTGGGGTGTGTGGTAATATCATAGACCCCAAAGAAAAAGAAAGCAGCAAAAATGCTCCACCCCGAAGCCTCCATATTTTTCTGCGGAGGCCACTGCTATTGACTTGGCGTTAGACTCCGTAGAATATTCTCCCAAATTATCGTTTCTCATTCTGTCCGATGCCTTGTCTTGCCTCACTCCACCCACCAATCTTCTTCACTTCACCTTCACCTATCCCGTAGACCGGATGTTCGTTGTGGCGGTATTGAAGATTTGGGCACCAGCTTCCTCCACTCCTTCCGCTCTTCAGATTTCCTGAGCGTGTCTTTGAGGTCCAGGCCTGTTTGTTCCCCCATTTTGTCCTTTCAACTCTCCTTCGGCCTGTCTCTTCTCCTTTTTCCCTGGACGCTGCCTTGCAAGATCATCTTGGTAAGGCCGGATGAACGGACGATGTGTCTATGCTATTGCAGTGCGCATTTTATGACCAAAGTGAGAAGGTCAGGGTATGGTCCAATTGCATTTTTGATCCGTTGTTCGACTTCATCATTTGTGATGTGATCTTTTTATGAGATACTAAAGACTTTTCGGAAGTATCTCATCTCCACAGCTTTGATCCTTCTTCTTTCAAGGTCTGTATTCAAGGTCCAGGATTCACATGCATACAAAAATACTGACATGACCAGGGAACAAATGAGTCTGATCTTTGATCTGATGGTGATATTTCTGTCTTTCCAAATGGTTTTTTACTTGGTCATTGCTGATGAAGTTTGCCCTATTCTGGAGAGTATTTCTGGTTTTGGTCCTTCGTCTGTCACTATTGCACGTAGGTATCTGAAGCTGCGTACGGTCTCGAGCTTCTCGATTGTTGACCGGATGTCCACTGTGATGTTTTTGCTGCTATTAGACAATCTAACACTTTTAAACTCGAAAATAGTTAAAATGCAGTTAAGAATTATTTCTTTAACTACATCTCCAAGCTATGGGATAAAAACTAATCAACTTCACTTCACTTTCACCTATCCCGAAGAGTGGATGTTCGTCGGGGCATTTGAAGATTTGACCACCAGCTTCCTACACTCCTTCCGCTCTTCAGAGCGTGTCTTTGAGGTCCAAGCCTGTCCATTCCTTGATGTTGTCCTTCCAACTCTTCGTCGGTCTGTCTCTGCTCCTTTTTCCCTGGACGCTGCCTTGCAAGATCATCTTGGTAAGGCCGGATGAACGGGTGATGTGTCTATGCCATTGCTGTTTGCCGTTTGCGTTTCCTGACCAAAGTGAGAAGGCCAGGGTATGGTCCAATTGCATTTTTGATCCGTTGTTTGACTTCATCATTTGTGATGTGATCTTTGAATGAGATACTAAGGATTTTTCGGAAGCATCTCATCTCCACAGCTTTGATCCTCCTTTCAAGGTCTTCATTCAAGGTCCAGAATTTACATGCATACAAAAATACTGACATGACCAGGAATGCATGAGTCTGATCTTTGATCTGGTTGTGATATTTCTGTCTTTCCAACTGGTTTTCAACTTGGTCATTGCTGTTGAAGTTTGCCCTCTTCTGGTTTTGATCCTTGGTCTGTCACTATTGCACGCTGGTATTTGAAGCTGCGTACGGTCTCAAGCCTCTGGTTTTGACCTGGATGTCCATTTTCTTGCTGCTGTTAGACAATCTAAAACTTTGAAACCCGAAAATAGAAAATCTAGTTAAATTGCTGTTGAGAATTATTTCCTTCACTACATCTCCAGGCTGTGGGATAAAAACTAAAGTAAACAACTACCAACAAGCTTCACAGTGTCCACACTGGACCCACGAAAATCTTCTGGTCTTTCGAGAACAGACGAAGAAGTTTTTACTCGTTTACGTATTTAGATATATGCTTCCGTGACCCATGGATATCTCCTGCGTTGAGATGAGAAACCGCTCTGTGTCAGATGCGATACAGACTTAACCATTAAACACATTAGAATGTCCGGACTTTGGAGAGACCCGAAGTAAATATTTTAAATGCACAAAATTAAAAGGTCTGTTCTCCGTCGTTGATCCAAATAGAATTCTCAAATCTATAAAAGTCATTAGCCTGTATTCTAAAAAGTAGATAATTTTTGTTTTAAAATGTAAACATCTGTTTTTATTTTCTAATCTTTTTAAAACAATTTTTTTTTTACCATGAGATGTTTTCCTTTACTTTAAAAGTAAAATAAAGCCGTGCAGTGAGCTGTTGTGAATGCAATCAACTTGTGTTTCATGCGTGCATGTGGCCGTAAGATGTTGCCAGCGCCGTAAAACTCTTATTAAACTAACTGTAGAGCGTTGCTCCATGTTGTACAACAGAGTAGGCTTCTGGATTCCAACTCCTAGATGGATCCGCCACGTGCCGTCTCACACACACACACACGGCGATACTCAAATCAGAAAGCTACTATGGTTATGTGGACACCAAAATTCTGCACACACTCGAAGTGTGTATAGCGTTGTGTATAGAAATAACGAAATAACAGCGTTATTCGGACCGGAACCGAATTCAAAAATATTTTAACACATGATGTAATTTTTGGCGGGAAATGCGATGGTGACCTTAAAACATTATGTGGACGTCTACATAACGGGGCATGTCTACATAACGTGAGTGTGCAATTATACTTTTGTCTACATAACTACGCCATAACTACGCAAAGACACACACACACACACACACACACACACACACACACACACACACATCGGGTGATGGTGACACATCGGTGGATGGAATACACACACGCACACATACACACACACACACAC